GCCTCTATATTTTGGCTCCAGTCATGCTCTTTTCTCAGAAAAGTACAAGATCAACTCAAAGAACAGGAGACCATCAAAGCTCCTAAGATTTTGGCCTTATCACCTTTGGCAACTGTTCTGGGTGGGTTGTATCTGGGGGTAGTTTTGGATCACCTGTACTTGACCTTTGCCCAAAGGCCGAGATCTCTAGTTCAGCAGTCATGGAAGTCTCCAGGTTAAGCTCAGTTAGTACAACGCTAGCTCATCTACACTGCATACAGACGACAGCACTTTAATTTGAAAGCTCGTCTTGGTACACAGCAGGAGGCCAAAATAAGGCAAGAAGCGGGTAATAAATATGCAGCTCCTGTTTCTAGAGCTATGTTTGAATGCACCATATATACAGTAGCTACTGATGGAATGGAAGCGACGGCAACAGCATGTCATCATAAAGAATTGATGGCATACGTTTAGCCCTGAAAATGTATATGCAGTTTTATTTATTTATTTCTAACCTTGGAGTCTTGGTTCACTTGCTGTTTTGCAATGACAGAATTCTATGAAGCCGCATGGATTAAAACTTTAATTATGTTAACTTTCAGTTGCATGATGTTGCCTCAGGTTAACACACCAATTTTCCTCACTTTACAATGACATCATACATATCTAATGACAATAAAATGGTTCATATTAAAGGGAAGAATTGCAATGAACTAGTAAATGCTTTTACTTGTTTAACATGTCTGTTGGTGGGTGTTTTTAAACCTTTTCCTATCATGGAGGACACCAGACAGTTTCCCTCAGAAAAGCAATGGGTTTTATCATTTTTCATCTTTCAGAAGAGATGATTCACACAGATTGGAGTGTGAATTTCTTTAACATTCAGCAATGTCTCAGTTTTCATATGGTGAGAAATTGCTTAAATATGTATGTTGCCTACCAGTAACATTGTATGATAGTCAAATGGACATAGCCAGTAGCAGGTGATGTAGCTAACTGAAATGATGCTGCTGTTATTCAGTTTAGATTTCCATGTAGGATTTTTTTTTATTTAGAGTTATTATTTTTGTTATTTATATAAATGTCTGGAAACCTAACTACCTAGAAGCCCATTCAATGAGTAGTTCTTGTGTAAAAACATCTAAGTACTTGAAAATTGCTTGTTTTTTTATATTTTAGTATGACTTCACACAAGAAATCAAAACTATTACTTTACAGCTTAAATGTAAATTCATGGTAATCTGGTTTCATTGAAACAAAATTATAAAAATTCATTTTTTTTTGGATTTTTAATATTTAAAGATCAACAGGTCTACTTATGTACTTTATTTACTTATTTACTACATTATTTATTCAGTTTTGTTCCATAAATTTACACAGCATTGCCTCAGGGCAACAAACCCCAAATGGCCACTTAAAGAAGAATTGCTCTCAGAATGTGTACAATAGAAGGTCATTTGTCACATTATGTATTATTCTGAATCCCAGCCCAGCAACCTCATTGGTTTTATTTCATTTACATGTTTTTTTTTTCATCACTGTTCTCTCACCACAATACTAAGCATGCATTATGCAAATATATCATGCACCCATTGGGAATCCCTGTGATGTCAACCAATCTTGACTCTTTGCCCAGCTAATGATCTACACTCTCAGAAATAAAGGTATTAAACTGTCTCTGGGGCAGTACCCCTCTTGTCACTGGGGTGGGTCCCTCAAGGGTACATCTCAGTACCTTTAGTCAGGGAACATAACTGTACCACAATCCATTGAAATTATATTTTCTAAGTTGTTCTAACTCCACACACCCGTCTCGTCTCCAGGCTTTATATTTTATTGTTCTGTTTTAAAACATTTGGTTATAAAAAAGGTTACAAATACGTACTTTTCACCTGGAAAAACTTATTTAAGGTTCACAATTAGACCTTAAAACCACTGTTGTACCTTTGAGGCATTTACACTGTTTGTACCTTGATGAATGAAAATGTACCTGCACTGCATGATCAGGTAGCAGTGGAAAAACGTTTCGAAACAGTCCTTAGGGGTGTTGTAGTTTTTCAAAAGTCCCTCCCACCTTCATGATACATCATCAGAAAGAGGTTTTTGTAGTCTTTACGCTGGACAAGTTCACTCTAGAGACTAAGACACCTCTGTAGAATGCAAGTAGACATGTTTACACTGAATGCAGCGATGGTTAAACTGTTTCTTATTGGCTGGAGTGTCCATTTAACTAATGTGGTCAACTCTTTTAATGGAAAGCACTGTAAATATATGTTGTACTTTAAGTGGACATTGTATTGTAGCTTTATTTTTTGTTTATCTTTTGTTCTTGCACTTACAAAAACAGAAATATTTAATGTAATGCCAAAACTGACGTAGAAATTCACGTCTTTGTCTATTCCCTGTGTTTGGTTTCCAGATGAAGTCGACAGAAGTGGACCAGGGCCTTTTTACAGACAGCTACTGCAAAGTGTGCAGTGCCCAGCTCATCTCCGAGTCTCAGAGAGTGGCCCACTATGAGGTCAGGACGGTCCTCTGCTGACCTGTCTGTCTGTCTGCCTGTCTGTCTGTCCATCCATCCGTCTCTCCATCTGTTGGCCTGTCTGGTGGTTCGTTCCCTGCTCATGCATCTGTCTGTATGTCTTGTGTGGTCATGCAGAATCAGAGTGCCGGGCTTTTTCCTCTGGGTCCGATGGCTGAGAGCCAGATTTGGCCTTAAGTGAAGCTCAAAGTTATTCTAAGGTCAGACAACACTGGCACTGATGGGTGCTGACAGGGTAATGTAAGTTCAGCGTGTTTGCCTCAATTCCGGTTCTCTGCTGAATTAACTGTCTCACCAGCAGCTGCAGAGTGGCCAGCTGTTGGTCAACTCTCAGTCTCTTGAATTGCACAAGGCTGATGACATGAGGTAATAATTATAAGTTATAATAAGTTATAATATATGGAAGTCCAGAGAGGCCTTGAGCTGTTGCTAGAATTTTTAAATTTAAATTTAAATTAACAATTTTATTATCTTGAGATCTCAAGATTGTTATCTTGGGATAAGTTAATTATGTTGTTATCTTGAGATTACGATAATTAGCTTATTATCTCAAGATAACAACTTTGTAACAAGATAACTTCTGTTTCCTTGAGACCTCAAGATAATTAATTCGTTATTTCCAGAAAACAACTTTGTTATCTTGAGATCACAAGGTGATTAACTTTTTTAACTTTTTTATCTTGAGATCACAAGATAATTAGGTTATCATCTCAAGATAACAACTCTGTAATCTTGAGATAACAAGACAGTTAACTCTTTATCCTAAGATAATTCAGATTCAGTTTTATGACAATTCAGCCTGTTGCCTGTTGACTTTGCATGTTCATAGAGCTTTATTAGGACATAACAGAACCACCATGTCCAGCTGTTTCACCATATGAGTGTTGGAAGATGGTTCAAATGAGGCCTGTGCCACATAGAAGACACACTTTTATATGTGTGTATTTCCTGTTTTTTATGACGGTTCCTAACACTGAAGCGAAAAGAGGAGCAAACAAAGTGGCAATGAGTTGTTGAAGCTTAATCTTTGTCAAATAACTTTTGGTTTACTAAAGAACAGATGAAATGGTTCATCATTAACTATTTTTTGTAAATGAGATGTGCGGTGAGAGTGTTTTTTATTCTTAACCTACAGCACATTCTGAACCCTAAATATGTCACGAAAGCTATGATTGTCCATTGTCAAGGCATTGCAAGTTCATGTTTCACTGCAGAAACAGTCAACCGGCAGTGCAGATCTCGATTAAATCTGTTAATTCATGACGCAACACTGCCGTGAACCGTTTTAGGCAGAATCTCAAAAAATAATGGCTACAGCATTTAAACAGTGCACAGTGTGTCTAACAAAGAACCACTGTGGATTCAGCCATGTGTGCACAATTCCATACTGGACATAAAGTGTAAAAGCCAAAATTTCATAACTCACCTAGTGCACTATATAGGGAGCATTGAGCCATTTGAGATTCAGACTTAGAATTTTCTGAGGTACAATCTTAAAGATTGTTAAATATTGACCATCAATGGGCTGTTTTTCTTGTGGTTTTCAGCACTTTAGCTAATTGTTTTACATTAAAGAATGTTAAATATTGGACTTAAAAGAAACTTGTGTCCATGACATGGCTTTGTTTAACTCTGCAACATGAAATAACCATTGGAGTTATCTGCTTTTGCCAAAAAAAATAAATTTAAATAGTAATAAAAATTAATCAATAAAATAAATAAAAAAAAAAATCAAGCTTCATTTTGGAAGTTACCTGTATTTTGTTAAGTCTTTTTTGCTTAATCAGAACGACCCAACTACAGTTTGACTGATATTACCTTGTATGCACAATAAAAACATGCTTTATGAAAATGTATTAAAATGGAGATGCCCATTTTTGCAAAGAAACTCTAACCTCAAATTTGGATTATCTGTTCTTTAAACATTTAAAAGGTTCTCCACTATCACAAATCTCTTTTTCAAACATGGTACTTTAGGGAACCAAACCTTTACATATCATGCCGTGCTTTGTGGCACCTGTTTTGTCATCTGTAATTTGGTCACACTCTGTAATTAATCTAGTGAGAAAGAACAGAGTTGCTCATGTCAGACAAACTTTACTGGCCGAGGCTGTTTTGTACAAGGCTGTGGACTTTGTGGCTGCTTAACCTGATACTTTTTTGATTGAGGCTGTTTTGTCTGATGTCTAATTGTACAGAAGCTGAAATATTTCCCCCAACCCAAAGCTGTTTTGTCGGATGTCTGAAATCTGATGCTGCGGTCTTGGAATGCACAGTGTACCAACCACAGTGTACCAATCATAGCTAACAGTGGTATCCCCCCTCTGAGTGTGTTCCACCAGCACAGCATCAGCATGTTCCTAGAACAATCTTATCTATGTTAGGAACAATAATAGGTGTATTAATGTGGGATATCACATCACCCAACATGATTAAAAGTTCAGGTATGTTCATATGTGGGAATACCAATGTCTTCCTATACCTTGAACAACATAAATCAACAAATGACCTTCATTTTTTACCATCACTGGGGGCTGTTACCATGGTAACTTTGTCAACCGTCAGCGTGCCTAGTTCCAATCTATGTTCGGGATGTCGTCTGGCCTGCCCGTCGGATCAGCATGCGGTGATGGGGAATGTACGAGACTGCATGCAACACAGTCAGTGGGTGGGGGACGCAGTGATAAGCCTGCCTGACTACAGAGCATTAATCTGAACTAGCGTTGGATGGGAAAGCAGTGTATTTGCTCTGACAGCTGCTTTAGATAACTAGGAGTGTGTTTGTGTGTGTGTGCCAAGTGTAAAATATTCATGCTGTTTTGGTACGTTGGTGTGTGTGGGGTGAGTGCAGCCCCTGGCCTGTGGCATCTCCTGTGTTGGGGTAAGTGGAGGAGGGGTGTGTGCCCTATCTGAGCAGCTTCCGCTCCTCTGAACCTGATGTGTTGGGCCACACTGATGATAGAGTGTAGAGCCAGGAGGAGGAGGCTTATTTCTGTCAGCATCACTCTCTCCCACACAGGCACACAGAGGTTCTTACACAGTGTCAGGACGTGGGATTCATAATAGTACTATTTTATAATATAATAGTCCGATTTATTATATGTATGTATGTATATAAGTTCCACAATAGTATATATGTATTATGTAATAGAAAGTACTATACCACTGTGCTGCTCAACAGTTCGGGGTCTCTTTTGTTTCATAATGCATCAAATATTTTCAGTGGGTGACAGGTCTGGACAATAGGCTGGCCAGTTTAGCACCAGGACTCTTACACCACAGAGCCATGCTGTTGTAACACGTGCAGAATGTGGTTTCATTGTCTTGCTGAAATAAGCAAGGCTTTCTCTGAAAAAGACGTTGTCTGGATGGCTGCATATGTTGCTCAAAATCCTGTACATATTGTTCAGCATTAATGGTGCCTTCACAGATATGCAAGTCACCCATACATGTGCAAAAATGCACCCCCATACCATCACAGATGCTGGCTTTTGAAGTGTGCGCTTATAACAAGCCACATAGTCCCTCTCCTCTTTAGCCCAGAGGACGCGGTGTCCATGATTTCCAAAAAGAATTTCAGATTTTGATTCATCAGACCACAAGACACTTCTCCACTTCGCCTTAGTCCATCTTAAATTAGTTCAGGCCCAGAGAAGGTGGCAGTGTTTCTGGATCCTGTTTATATGTAGTTTCTTCTTTGCATGGTAGAGTTTTAACTTGCAATTGTGGATGCAGCGATGAACTGTGTTCACAGACAGTGGTTTTCGGAAGTGTTCCTGAGCCCATGAAGCGATTTCTGCTGCCTGAAAATCATGGCCAGCTAATATTGGTGTTTGGCGTTATACCTTACATACAGAGATTTCTCTTGATTCTCTGAATCTTTTAATGATATTATGTACTGCAGATGATGAAATCCCCAAGTTCTTTGCTAATTTATGTTGAGAAATGTTGTTGGACTATTTGCCTGCGTAGTCTTTCGCAGAGTGGTGAACCCCTCCTCATCTTTACTTCTGAAAGACTCAGTTTCTCTGGAATGCTCTTTTTATACTCAATCATGTGACTAACCTGTTGCCAGTGAACCTAATTAGTTGGTAGATGTTCCATTAGGTGTTTTTTCTTTTTTGCATTACACAACTTTACAAGTTCTCAAGTACATGTAATAATATATATGTAATAATAATATAAAAATATATCCCATATGTATAATATATGTATTCATTGTCAGAACAATGACCTGTATGTCCATTTTTGTTTTTTTTACAGTATTTGAAAATGCCAGTTGCCCTTTTAGAATGTGTTAATTTGTAATAGAAATGCTCCAAATTTACTGTGAAAAATCTTGTACCATTAACTTCCACTCAAAGTTATATATATATATATATATATATATATATATATATATATATATATATACATATATATATATATATATGTTTGTTTTCGTACATTCTCAGGACAGCAGCAGAGAAAACCTACCACAGGATGTACAAATGGACAAACTGAAAATTAAAATGGTCCATATTTATAACAACATATTCCACATTTAATATAAATCTGGACCATTTCAATTTTCAGTTTGTCCATTTGTACGTCCTATGGTAGGTTTTCTCTGTTTTTGTCCAGAAAATGTACGAAAACAAATACCCAAACACACACATAGTCACTCTGCTCTCCTTCACCCTCTCCAGTCTAATTTGTTTATTCTGATAAAGTTTAAAGGCCTTTTCATCTCCTCTCGCCTGCTCTCTTTCTCTCTCTTTCTCTCCCTCTCTCTCCCCAGACAGTAGCTTGTGTGTCTTTTTCTCAGACAGAGTTCCATCACAGAAAACGTTAGTGAGATACAGGCCTGATTAAAGCTCAGCTCTCTCTCCTCAGAACGCTGATCTACAGCGTTTCTCCATCAGCTTAATCAAGCACCTTATTACCTTTGGATCCTATTACCAGGCCTTTCCTTAACTCAAGTGTCTCTTTTTTTTTAA